GGAGACGTAACAGTATACTCACCAAGGGGGATATCGGAATTTAATGAGAAACAGAAATAGTATAGCAAGAGTTATAAACCTAATCTTCGTAAGCTTTACAGGATTGAGTGGTTTATACTAAAACGATTTTGAGTTTGCAAATAAGCAAGTCACGTGACAATGACAGCCGATATAAAGTCATGGCGGAACTTCGTGTATCAGAACTACATTTTGACATTGGCTTTATATGAGTAGTATGATAACACCTATAATTTATCGTTTTTGAGAAGGGGTATGTAACAGGTACTTCTTACGGAAAATATTCAAACGCTCATATCGTAATAATTTATTAAGGCCTGAGATTTATAATTTACAAGACGAGAATATCTCGTGTAGTTAATATCATAAAAAATCACAGGAACATTAATCAGTTTGAGGCACCAGTGCCACCCAGAAAGATACCTGCAACAACTCAGTTTTGTTAAGCAAAGTGCGGCCTCTTGTAACATATGAGAGTCCTTGAACCCAAAACTCAGAGGAATAATCGCCCACGTGCTCCAGGCAACAGTACACAATATAATCAAGAGGGATCTCCTTTTAGAAACGAAGCCAGTAGGGTAAGGGTTCACCAAGAAAATGCTTCCAGTTATACCTCCTATTTAACCGTCACATACTGTAAACAACTGAAGAATGAAATGGTTATTCGTCATATTCCATAAAAAGACATGTTTATCAAGTCACCAGATGAAGTTTTGAGGACTTCTGTATGATCAGACTGTTGAAACTGGCGCTAGGAAACTGTTATTCATGTTCATTACAGAGAGCAGCAGTATGTTTTGAACGCGACATGACAGCCTTCCGGCGGAGCTTTATGCAATGGAACCTATGCTGTAGGACAATTTTCAAGATGCATGGTCGTCATATAGAGCATAACTGAACATGGTGATGTAGACTGTAGCGACTTGGTACAGTTTCAAAATAGTTTTAATATAGCTATTCAACCCTCTGCTTAATCGACAAATTTCAACATCAGTGACCTGCAGTAACATTTTAAAAGTATACTTGGTGCATAATATTAACAGCCAAACAGTACTAGTGGACAACATAATAATAATAATAATAATAATATATATATATATATATATGTATATTTGTGTTGTATAACAGGACACTAAATTATACAGCTACAAAATCAAAATATATGTATATAACAACAATTCACATTTATTCTCCAAATAAAGTTAGTTAGTTTGTTTGCAGTTAGTTATAAAAATACACAATGGGCTGTATGTGCTCTGCCCACCACGGTTATCAAAAACCGATTCTTTCCGCTGTGCCACTGGAGGAGTCTTAAAAGAAAGAAAGACAGTTGAAAAAATTCGGGTAGCTGATTAGAATCAAGTGCTCGTTTAACATAACATTAAAGGACAACAATGGACCTTTTGTTCCATCTAGGTTGCCCTATCCACTAAATTAAACTAAAGACTAAAAACAGAAGAAAATTTAAAGACAACCCTTATCATTCAAATATTTATCAAGCTTTTTATGGTCGATGGTTCAAGTTTTAATGTTCCTGAGGCTAGAATTTTGAAATTATATGAAGCCAATTTTGCTCGAAGTTTCTTATGTTCGTAGGAGGATATCTTTAACTGATGTATTATTTTGCTAGTATAGCTTGCTTTATAGTCGACACAAGAAAATTTGTAAAAAATCCATGAAATCAGTGGAATTTGTAGTTTGTTAGTGTTATATATGTCTTGAATCTGAAAAGAAGATCTGATTTTTTTGACTCACATTGTGAGTAATAGATATTGATTATTTTCTAAATTTTAGGATGTTGTACTACTATAAAATAATCATTTAATAACAAGAAAATTGAAACATTATGTTTTCCAGCATTTTCCAGAAAATTCACGGGATAAAAATTGTTTTGGGGAATGTTTTAAAGATAGTAATCTGTTATGTGTTATAGTTTCTGTTAACGAGGTTTTCTATGAAACTGAGCCGGAATGATTATTCTGTAAAGTTATTAAAGTGAATGTATAGACTTATGAAAGTTTCCTTTAGATAACTAGATACAGTAAACTAACTAATTATTCAGTCGGTTAAGTTCATATAAAAACCTTTTCAATTACCTTCAGTTCCGTAGATAAATCTTAGACGTGTGTGTGTTGACGTTTAAAATGTACATACAATTTATTATATTTTCATTACTGGGGGAAAAATTGAATATATCCTACCTCTGGCAGAGAGATGTCTTAAATCTTTTATTTAACTTAATTATTATGTTATATTTAATTAGATATACTTAGTATTGAGTTGATATTTATTTTGATCTATGTAAGCAGCTAGCTCTGATCGGAAGTTAATATTAATTGATATGTGTAATTTCAATTTACAGGATACCGATTTATAAATTAAGGAAATTTTAAAGACTAAATATGTTTATAATTATTGACTTTATATTAATAATGTAATTATATATATATTTGGGTGTGTAAATTTATTTTCCTTGTTATTGATACCGCTAGATGTCGAAACAATCTAGCTCTTATTTCGCTTCGTAATGGCATCTGCCGTTGTTCCTCAGTTACCAGTAGGAGGTTTTTCCTTCGAAAATTGTAAAAGGTGAAGTAATTCTTCTAGTTTTTAACTTTCATGTATTAAAATCAGATTCAGTATTTTTGATTTGAAATATTCTTTATAATACCTTGCCTTTAAACAACTTAGTATGAATTTTTTTATTATGCCGTATTTATTGTATTACTAATAGTAATACTACTAGTATTAAGCCTATTTTTAGTATTTACAAGATTAAGGAATTAATAAAACTATTAATAACAGGTGATATGGAAGTTATGACTTTTCCGTGTTGGATGCTGTAATGAAATGAATCAAATTTATCGTTTGACGATTTGGCTTATTTCATCATCGTGAGAGATTGCATTATGTCACAGAACATAAGTATTATTAGTATTACTATTAAGACTTGTATATTTGTAAGTTATGGATATAACCATAAGTTTAGAAATAGTAGATGGAAATAAATTTACTAAATGCTAGATAATGCATGTGTACTACTTTTAAACTATCATTACCACCTTGATGGAAATCAATGTAATTGCATATTTTATTATGTACTACAGTATAAAAAGAACAAGGGACCTGTTGGTCCATCTAGGTCATCCCATCCACAAAACTAAACTTAAAAATAAAATAAAACACTCAGTCAACCTTTATCAATTCTTTCCTTAAATTAACTACATCTGTCACATCTGAAGGCAACCCATTCTAAAGGCCAACAACCCTGTTAGAAAAATGAAGATGTCTCCTGTCAAAATTTTTTTTTGCATCTTCTAGTCATACCATTCCTACCATTAAGTACAAAAAAAGATGATGATGCATCAACACTTGATTCTATTAACAATCTTAAACACCTCAGTCAGATTGTCTCTAACTTTTTTTTTTCAAGAAAAATCAATTTCAGATATCTTAACCTGTTCGTGTGTAGCAACTTTTCCATCCCAGGTATCATCCTAGTAGCCCTCATCTGAACCCTCAGTTGGAGTAGTGTATTCAGTCCTGGGCTCTTGAAAGGGTTAAAAGGGCTACTAAGCTTAATCCTGGGATGGAGGGGCTGTCACATGACACCAGCTAAGATCAAGACTTAGCTGTTATTATGCCCTCTACGTGTCATAATTTAATGTAAGGAATTACCTAACGACACTGAACTGTTTAACTTTGGTATGTTGTTTTGTGCTCTCCTTATCTAAGAAAGGATATTCATTTAGTAGAAAGGGTTCAGGGGAGGATTACTAGGATGATTCTGGAAATGAAATGGTTCCAAGTAAAGATATTTTTATTTTTCTAACAAGGTGATTTATCTATAAAATGAGCAGATGTCTGCAACAGTGGAGGCTGGCTCTTAACATAAGTTTGGGAGGAATCGATAATTTTGTGAATAATAAAGAATTGGTTTAAATTTTTACTTTTCTCAATGATGGGAGTGCAAGAACAGCCTTGAAAGAACAAATGGTTCCTTGTTGTTTGTATGTTTTTCAGATTGCTACAATTTGAATAATATTAATATGAAACTCTTTGTTTTTAATAGTTATTGTAGTATTAGTTATAAACGTATAAATACTTATTTGTAATAACAACCTTTTTTTTCAGAAATGCTTTCTTAGCATCAAAAAAATTTCCTCTCCCCAATGCTAAAAAGACAGGAACTACTATAGTTGGAATCACCTATAAGGTAAGTGTTAAATATATATGTTTTTTGTGTGAAATATATCTCATCATTTGCCAATTGCGTGATAAGGTAAGTGAATATTCCAGGACTTGGAAAATGAGAATTAGTAATAAAATACAAAAAATCGTGCACTTGAAATATGAAATTGTCAAAAATGTGTTTGTTTAATGGCAGAATAAATTACATTATGTATTAGACTCTGCCAAAATTGAGTAATTATTATTAGATTTCAGACACGTCTGTGGAAGTAAAGATTTTTAAAAGACTAATTGAGATATCAAGTTGGTTTTGTGAAAATAACTGGACAAACTAAAGAAATATCATAGCATTTGGTTTTGTGAAAATAACTGGACAAACTAAATGAATATCATAGCAGTTGGTTTTGTGAAAATAACTGGACAAACTAAAGAAATATCATAGCATTTGGTTTTGTGAAAATAACTGGACAAACTAAATGAATATCATAGCAGTTGGTTTTGTGAAAATAACTGGACAAACTAAAGAAATATCATAACATTTGGTTTTGTGAAAATAGCTGAACATACTAATAAATAACATTTGCAAAAAAAAACACAACTTATAAGAAAGGAAATTAATATGAATAAACTTAGTTACCTCAATTTTATAAGTTTTACTTACAGAATATAATATTCAAAGAAATGCACCATCAACAAAACTTGTACAAAGGAAGTCATGATTTGACAGTTTGTATGAAACATGGAAAGTAATGTGTTCTCTGTTCTCAATGTCACTAAATTCATGTATCCAGCTCTGTACTACATGGCTGGCAAATTCATGAAACAACTAACAAAATGGGAAATAAAATACATAGAAACTACATTTATCTTTTACTTTCTGATCCCTGTTCTGATTAAAACGATGTTGTCATTCCCACATCTTGGACTGGACTGTAACGTGTATTTATCTTTTACTTTCTGATCCCTGTTTTGATTAAAACGATGTTGTCATTCCCACATCCTGGACTGGACTCTCACATGTTGCATCATGAGAAGCTAGTACAGGACAACTAATGACACTCAAGCTTGACATATGTGTGAAGACTGCTACTATGCTCAAGCCCTTAACAACTCTCGATAATTTGTGTAAATATAACTCCATATAAGTTAGTCCAGAATTAACATGTACATTGACAGTTTCTGTACACCAGCCCTATTCAATGAGTCTACTGAATTTAATATATTAAATTTCTAAGCTCTTCTGTTACATTCTACCCCATGGTTTGTCTCGTGCCAACACCTCCCAAAGAAGGGTACTATTGTCAAATAAAAGTGAAAAACAACAACAAAATAATATGCTGAATAGTGCTTCTGCAAGCGAAGTGATCTTTGTGTGAGTGAAAGCATGAGAAAACAACAACAACACAATACTAGCTTCATTATCAGGTTCGCCACAATGTGACTAGCATAAAACCTGTACACTCATAAGCACTTAAGTTAGTGGGGGCAGGGGCATATGACCTTGGAGGGCTATAGCCCTGCAAAATAAATCCTACAAGATGTGTATGTACTGAACTAATAGGTGTTTATCATCAAGATCCCCAAAACTTTCACAAATTGCCATAATAACGTACGTAATGTGGTCATATGATTCCAGTGGTAGGAAGGTTAGTAGAAAAAACCACAGTAATTGGAAGGAACTATCAGAAGTCTTGATATTAGGGAAACACATTTATACATCCTCTTCAGTATCACATTTTTTTCTGACAGGAAAACTGGTCAACAACACCTACGTGTTCATGGTTAATGTCTTACGGTTAGAAACTTGTGTCAACACTTCTAGTACCACAACATAACCTTTCTCTCA